CATTAATATTACTAATAATAATGATATAACAACGATACGGCTAATAATATAAGTATACGAATAGTATCACAAAATAATTATTATACAAGTAAAACAGACGTATCTTGCTTATACAGATCTTACACATGTCTCAAACATTGTAACAATATCTTCAAGTAGTCGCAATTGTATAAATTATTTACATGCAACGAGAATGATATGAGGAGTTTAAAATAAAATTTAAAAAAAAGAACAGAGAAATAGGGGCAAAGAAAACGTAATAGAGCTTCGATATTTGCTTATATTCATTCGAGATATATCGAAAAAAGATATGAAAGGTATGAAAAAAATGAATTACTTCTTCGTCAAAGTCATAATACATTCAACATCCATGCTTTTCAGAAAGTTCAAGTACAAATCTCAATGCTACGATTACAAAAATGTTGAGAGAAATCAAAAAGGGACTTGTCACGTTTCCGCGTTTATAGACTCCGTAAGAGTATTCTAGACCCAGCTAAACGTTCGTCTACGGATTCTTCAATTAACTTGAAATAAATTTTCTTTTAGCCAAGATTTTAAACGAGATATAATTTGTCGCATAAAATTTAAATTTCCAATATTAAATAATGATATAACATAATTATATTTAATTTTACTTTTTATATCTGTACTGGTCCCCAACTTACAAATCTGTTACGTTAAAATCTACTTAAAAGTAAATAATAAATAAAGTTTTAAATAAGAATTTGATTACGCCTTTAAAGTTTAATTTCCGAAAAGGAAATTAATATCAATTTTTTTATTACTAAAGAAAAATCGACTCTGAATTAATGATATCAAAGGTACCACAGACAGAAACTGCCAAGTCTAGTACACTCTTCTACACTGTGCTACACCGAATTAGTCTGTCAAAAGTAGTTCTTAAGAAAATACATCGATATAATTAATCGGCTATGTATGTACAAAATTGTGCGATGAACACTTAATTCTAGCTTCGGGGAGAGTGTGGGGGAAATACACTTCTCCGAATAATTTACTCGCGATTATACCTCGCGAATTCCTGGCCATTCGACAAACTAATTCATCTATTTTTCACGAGCACAAGGCAAAGAAAACGCTCGTAAAAATCTTTATCATTATATATCTTACTTTTATTTAAACTAACGATTTTATATGTAATAAATATAATTCTGTTTATGACGCATTCACGACGGAACATATGGAGTGCGTTTCATTTTTTACTAACTAATCGTTAGAAATAATTGCCTTATTAAAATCATGAAAGAAATCCTTCTCACTCTTTTCATTTCCTACTTTTTTTCTTTCTTTTCCTTTGAGAGTTATAATAAGGTATATATGAATATACCAAGTTAAAGTCAGACTCCGTGCGAAAAGTAAAACGCGTTACTTTACCGTATCACAAGTCTAGTCTTATACAAAAAAAAAAAAAAAGAATAATCCGACAACATAATACTAATAATGCTATTGCGTGCTACCGCATTGTAATCGAATTACCAATATCTATAATTTCGTCTAGTTAATATAATGAAAAAGAATCGTAGACCTCAACAGTTAATTACGTAATAACTACATGTTTTTGACCCCGAAGCCAGTTGTGTGTTTTATGTATGTATGTGTGTGTGTGTATGTATGTATTCAACCGTCTAATAATTTATCTAATAATTTATGTTTCTTTATATTTTATACATATATTCTACGCAACAACAGTTACGTACATATCTTAATCTAAGAAAGCGTAACCCTCTCTCTATATGTATATATAATAAAAAGCAATTATCGACAGAAAGATGATTTTAAATCTACCCTCAGATTTTCCTTTTTCTCTTCTTTTCTTTCACGTTATCTGCCGTATTTCCTCATATAAAGTCGGAGTTCTCGTCTGAGAGAGTCATTATTACGAACCGAGTATATAAAAATTATTATCTAGTAATCAGCAGCACCCGCGGCTTATTTTAATCCCACGACACGTATATAAAGACTGATTTCTACGTATTTGTACTTCCATGTCGTCGATCAACGGACAAACGAAGGTTTCCTCACGTACGTCTGAGCCCGTGTGTTTAAAAGAAATCCCAGAAACTTTCGATAAAATATCAGTTTTAACACCGCTTCTTAAAACTGTATTTTACCGTCGTTCTCTCACCGCTTCTTCGCTTTTCTCTATTTTGTGTCCTATTTATAATCGCCCCAACGGCAAATAAAATGTTCCAGAGTTATAGCACGATTACTTTTGGTGGAATAACTATCTTTTCGACTGTACGCAAATCCGACGCATTTCTGTCACATTAAATAAATGTAGTTACATTTATAAATTTTTCTATAGTTTCTCTCGACGTCTTCATATATATCTTCGTCATATACATACACAGATATATACAGCCATATATACATACAAATACATACATATATGTACGTACGTATGCATGCATGCATTTATATATGTATGTGCATATATTCACGCGTGTAAAGATGCATGTATGTATGTATATGTGTACCATGTAGTTATAATCATAAAATAAATGGTCAACGAGAAACGTTATTTTTACGAAATATAGTGCTTCGACGCGAATGAGATGTGCATGGAGACGCGAGCTTACAAAATTGTTTGTATTTAGAAGATACCAAAAAAAAAATTTCAGATTCACCGCACAGCTTGAACGCACATATTCTGTGTTTTCCTCCTCTTCCTTTCTATGTATACCTACATTTTGCGGAAGGCTTGGCTTAAACTCGCGATTGTTCTCTACGCAATTCAACTCTAACGTGCTCACGGAGTTATTCTAATTTTCCTTTTTTACAACCAGCTTACCGCGAAAGAGAAGTATGGATGAAATTTCAAGCTTTATCTAAAAAAAAAATATATGCCGTCAATTAAATTTAAAATATATAGATATTTTTGTTCTTATTTAAAATAAACATATTACATAAATATAAAAGAAAAGAGAATAGAAGGAAAAGTAATCAATGCAAGTGCCAAGTTACTTCGTAATTTTACACGTTAAAAATAGAAAAAATTACATTGTTATTTTTTAAAAACACATTATCGCATTATAGGCACTAATATTGCACATTCTGTGATATTGGTTTATCCGAAAGTTCTGTCGGACGGAAAAAAATCGATTATGCGCAAATACAAGCGCTATTTTAACAAAAATATATTGTTAAAAAAAAAGAATAAAATCTGCTTCGATTGAACAGAACAATTTTACATATGTACATTTTAAATTGCAGAATGTTATTAGAATTTAATTTGTGCACGACTCTATATTAATTTTCCTCATTTTTGATTTTTGAGATAATACAACGAGTTACATAATTTCTATACTTGAAAGAAGAAAAAACTGAAAAAGGAAGCCAATACATTTTTCGATACAAAATGATTTTTTTAACTACCTATCGATATTTGAATTACAAATCATTGTTGATACTAATTTATTTCAGTTTTTCTTACTCATGATAATTTTAGCCTATGTTATTTTAAGAGTCTTTTTTAAAGTTTTAACAAGTAAATGCCCATCCCATTTGCCGTCATTTCAACAGCACGAAAAACCTCGGAAAACACGACAAAACATAACGGAGACAAAATATGCGTCTTTTCTTTGCGTTAGAACTTTATCATGTTGAAGTAACCAAGATTGGACTGTTATCATAAACATTTCGAATGTGCATCTCCTTGTCAAAATCAAATTACACCGATGCTACTTCTCTCGATTTCTACGTGGCGAACCAATCAATTTACTCAAATTTACTCAAACGATTTACTCGAAACTCTTGGTGCACATTCACAATAACTACTTCACTAGCATTATACATGGCGAATCGACCAACAGTTAATAGTAATCGGTAAGACATGAATCGTCAATACGAAAAAAAAAATAAAGCTCATGGTCCCACGATAAAGAAAAAGAAAAAGTAAAAGAGAAAGAGAAAGAGAGAGTAAAAGAGAGAGAGAGAGAGAGAGAAAGAGTTAAAAACGGAACGATAGTGCAAAAAGAGAAAGAGAAACGTAACGAGCGGAGGTTACTGCAAAAAAATATCGTAGAACGGATTTCTCCCGATTCTAGTCATCATTTTGCGCGTACTAAGCCGTCCAATGCGCGTCCACAAAGAAAAAAAAACCAAAAGAAAAGCAGGACGCGCACGTTGCGACTTTGCGAGACACGCGATTTCGTGAAAGCGCGAAACGCGTTACGATGCGAAACACCGCCGACCGTTCTTAAGTACCGAAAGCGTTTATTAAGCTACTACGTGTCGAGAGTGGCTGAGCGAGCGAACGGTGCGGAGGAACGTTTCGCGCTCGCACCGGAGACGCCCTGCCTGTTACTGTTCCGATTCTTGTTGCCGCGCGACAGCAGACTCTTGGCAGTCTCCTTGAGATTGCATCGCGGACGGAGACTGCTAACATGTGTACGGCTACTGCTGTGTGTAAGAGGGTGGTGGTGTTGGTGGTTCACCACCAGGGATGCAGAGGACTCACCGGATTCCCAACCGTCCTCGTCACCGGTAGTGTCACACTCGCTGCTGTCCGCCTCGCTCGACTCACTCGGTGTCTCCTGACCACCCATCCCCAGCTGAACACCATCGCCACCTCTGTTCGTCACTGGCACAGCTGGCGATATGTTCCCGCCCACGCTATGCATAAATAGACTCACCTGCAATTAAAACAGATCGCAAATAATCGACCATTGTATCCTGCGCTTGATAAGATCTTATTATCTGAATTTAAATAGATGTATATTTAATTGCTTTAATTCGAAAAAGTTTGACTAACAAAATATTTAATGCGAAATATTTGGAATTGAGATACACTGATATATACTGATTGTATACGCTGTACATTTTCAGAATATGCAATCTAGCTGTAGTGGCAAATATTGAATGTTTAACACTAAAATATCCGATATACATTCTACGTTGCTATACTTCTTTCTACTTTCTTTAATTATAATTTGCGAGTACAGAAAAAAACTAACTTTAAAATCCGGACTGTATAGTTTGTGATTTTTATCCTTGTGTACTTTGTCCAATCCTGACTTATCTATCCGTAAAACGAGAGTGGGCGGCATAGGACCGAGACTCGCCAATGATCCAGTTCTAGCTTTCACATGCGACATAACCATCGGCAATTCCATGGTTGTGCCATCACAGCTAAATGCCCTCGTCGATCTTTCAACATGTAAATCGCCATTGTCGCATTCGGAATTTGTTTTCTCACGGACGAAAAATGTGTTAAACCAAAAATGAAAAATCTTTTCCTGAAAAATGCAGTAAAACACAGTTCATTGATCTCTGTCGTGCCAAATAAGTTTTAATATAAATATTACACTATATACCTTCCGTTTCATTTTTGGCTTATAATTATAGAACTCCACCCGTATATCTCCCGTTAGAGCGACAGTGTGTTGCAGTGAGATGCATATAGAAGATGTACCTTTCCGAACCTCATAATCATCAGAAAATATCCTTTTATTTGATTCTGAGATTACAAAACGCAGACCTAAAAACATGACATACAGAGAAATATAATATAAAGTACAAATCAAAAGTTGCACAGAAAAATATTACAAAGTTAAAGAGAAAAAGGTACGTTTTATTTCTTAAAAAGTTTGTAAAATAAATTCCTGTTGTTAACGATAACAATCCGTACATAACTTTTATACTAGTACTTACAGCCTTGACCTCCATTGAAAATAGGAGCCGGATCCAGTTGTATTTTACGCAGTAATAATGTCACTGGTTCATAACTGATACCTTCTTTGAGGAGGGTAGCATAATAATCCACATACCTTCTCTGCGATGGTATCGTTACGCCTTTCCTAGATCATAATAAAGTCGAATAAATAAAATAATTCTCAATCATCGAGACATTATTATGTGCTCTAAATCCTCAAATCTTTTGTAATGCTTACCTATCGTGAGTTCGTTTAGTTCCATAATAATTAAGGGCTTCCGTGGCAGTGGGAAACTGTTTGCTGTGAAGTAAATAGCAGCACACCATTACACCCGTCCGACCTTTGCCCGCCTTGCAATGAACTGCGGCCACATTGTCCTTATCTTGGGATAACCACGACTGCACGTCCTCGCAGAAAGGCTTAATCTGCTCCAGCTTTGGTGGATTGTGATCATCGAATGCGTAAGTAGCTACTCTCTGCTTGAACTTTTTAAAATCATACGATCTCTCAGAACACCTAAAACAATATTATCATAATGATATAGCAATCATTTGTCATAAAAAAACTGTTTTAACGTTAAATCTTTTCACTTACAGATTATAAATTTTATAATGGTCTTTATGCTTCGATTCCAGTAGTTTAACAACGTCATCAATATGATTTCTATACACTCCTTCCAGTTTCTCAGCAGGAAAACCCATCGCTATTAAATTCGGTTTTATATCTAATGTCATAACATTTGCTAAGGAATTTATCCAACATCAATTGGTTCATTGTATTAAAATACAATGCAGAATACTATGTATTGTGCATATTATATTTACATTGTTAATGTAAATAGAGTATGCACAATGCGTGATATTCTAATATCTAATTATTTCTAATTGTTATATGCAAAACAGTAAGACAAGGATACATGTGAGATCAAGATTAAAACCATCTTCTGTGAAACGTTTGCGGCGTTTGCTAACCAGTCCCTTTATGGTATTAGTCACCTTCATGTTGCTGATAGTATTGGCCATACTCAGATGGCTTTGTCTTAAATCTCCTGCTTCGACTTCGATCGAATCACTTTCCGCCACCTCCTCGGGAATCTCTTCTTCTGCCTTTTGATTCTCAAAGGTTCTTTTAACCTGTTGTTAGAATTACAAATAATAGAATAGAATAAAAAATTTAATTACAATTAATTTTAATAGAGCATGCTACACACATTTGAGGAATTAAAATATAAATATAGGTTCACCTGAGGCTTGTGAGCTTGTGAGGCGTCACATGAGCCCAGTTCTGGTCTTCTTTGTTCCTCCAGACAAACATGGAGAGGAGTTACGGAGGCCGAGATATGTTCAGAGATTTTACTATTCAACCTGCCGCTGGTGGGTCTCCTGCAGGAAAAGCATATACCCATCAATTCCCAGAACATGTGTTCCTCTACTTAGGCATGTTTTTCATCGAGCATGTCCTATTTCTCCACCACGAAGCTCGGTGCTGGTTCTTGATCGGATGTGGATCATTTTATGATGACATATCACCATCACCAGTCTGATGGGATTTCACAGAACACACAACAGTGAAAATCCAGAAAGTAATGATATAGCCTTTGGGGAGAAACTGTCCACACAATCGCGGTGGCAGATGACGCAAATAAGGAATGCACACCATACACTCTTTCGCAGGTTCCGTAACTGTACAGCTATCACTAAAGACACTGGCCTCCGGATTGTTGCATTGTCCACCGCGGATTTCCTTATCTGTAGTCCACTCAGATAGACATTCCTGTTCCAAAAATCACAAAGATCATCATCATCAACTTTGCCAATCGGCAATTAATGGAGAAGAATAAGAGAGAGAGTGTCCTACAGGAGAGAGAGAGAGAGAGAGAGTACTACTACTTGGAAGGAGGTTGAAAGACTCAGTAAATGAACGGAAGCATAAAGGAGGTATCGGAGTGGATCGAGAGTTCACCGAAGTATCACCGGCCTACATTCGCGCGCGTTTACGCCGAACGCGGCCACTGGAGTCAGAAGTATGCGACAGGGATGACGGGTTAGCACCGCGCGATAGAGCAGCGGCGACAAGAGCGATGCTCGAATCACCGCGACTCGATGGCTTCTCGCGGGTCCGTCGCGCTCTCGCGATCGAGCCGATCGATGCGATACGATGCGATACGATGGGACGCGATGGGATGCGATAGGATGCGATGCGATACGAGACGTCGCGTCTTACCTTCGGCGTTCGTTTCGCCGTACCGCTTCGTCAAGCCGGATAACGACAGGGAATCCGCGAGAAACCGCGAGAAGGACAGCAACGAGAGAGACGAAGCAGGATTCTAGATTTTAGGTTAAGTGCGCTCGCACTTTACTAAAGAGAGAGAAGCAGTGAGAGGAGCGGTCCTCTCTTTTCCTCTCGCGCGCGCGCTCGACAGCGGCGGCGGCGCGTTCGTTTCTCGCGATTGACGGCAGCGACGGAGATAGAAGTTCGATAGCGTAGGGTCGCCCGCAACCTCGTGTACCGTTTCACGAACACGTTTACCTTTTCTGTAGATGAAAGAGACCGAGGGAATACGACGACAGACTCAGCGCTCGAAGCAGAATCGAAGCTGATTGAAGCCGAGCGGCTGACAACGCTCGCGCTGCTCACTCTCTTTCTGTTTCTCTCTCTCTCTCCCTCTCCTTTTCCCCTTCCTTTATTCACTCACTCTTTCTCTCCCCCGTTCGGATGGACTGATCTGATCGCCGTCGTTCTCGCGTTACGTTATCCGGGGACTGTTCCGCGGCGGAAATAAACGGCGGTATATTACCGGCACCTCGGTTCGCGGCAGCGTCGCCGACGGCACGTAGTACGCTCGACACGCGTTGTTAACGTTAACGCCATGACAGCGTGTGCGTGCGTATGTGTATGTGTGTCTTTTCTCCGCTTTCTCGCCTCTCGACCCCCGCGGGTGGCCACGGTCTCTTCTTCGTTCCGTTCCGTTTCGTTCCGTCCCGTAGCCGTACGCATGCACGCATTACGCACGCACGTTACACACGCATATGTATGTGTGTATTAATGTGTGTGCGATGTTGTATGTATTCTCGCTCGCGACTCGCCGCCGCGGCCCATTCTCGCGTTTCTCTTTCGGCGCGCACACTCCGATCGCGTCACCGCGAACGAATCGCGGGATCTTTCTGGATCGGGTTGGAGGAGCAGGAGGAGCAAGAGACGCACCACAGCATAGGAGAAGCCGAACGCGTCGTTCGTACGTCCTCGACTCTTCTCATCCTGCCGTCGCGAGCGGATTTCGCATTCTTTATTCAAGCTTTGTCACACTTAAGCCCAGTTGCACCAATGTCACTTTGATTTTAAGTGAGACTTCGAAACTCTATCCGTTTCGTTTTAAAGGTAAAAAGAGACAGAGACAGAAAGAGTTTTAAGCTTTGCTTAAAATCAAAGTAACGTTGATGCAATCGGATCTTAGCTTTATCGGGCCTTAATTCTATCAACTAACAATAAGATTAACTTTAATTTCGATTTAACTTATTGTTTATCTCTTCTTAGAATGAGAAAAAATAAAACGTAATAAATTAAAACCAAGATTATAGTAGATAAAGATTTATATCATTAGTGAAATCAGGTAGGTCTTATATCCATTTCTATCGCTGTAGATTAACTCTAATCTGGATTTACTTCTTATCTTTTTCTGATTCTGACTAATTTCTACTAATATATATAATAGAGTGTCCTGTAAGTTTTTGCCAATCGCTTTTATGTAGATAGAGCGGACTAAACTGAGTCGAAAAGTCCTCTAAAATTTTCCAATTTTCGTTACAGTTGATAAGACATTAATTACTAAAAATTGCCGAATATTGGTCTTCAATAATTTTTTACTCAAATATTCAATTTTATGGAAAAACTGCAAGAGACAATAACCATTTATTTTCTTCTCATAGAACTCTAAGAATTTTTTTTCACAATTTTTTATCAACTTTTTAATACTGCATTTTCTTATTTTTATCAATATGAGAAAATATGGTATTAAAAAATTCTGAAAAAATTCTAAAAAAATCTTCAGAACTTTATGAGAAGCGAGAGAAAAATAAACAATTTTTGTCTCTCGCTGTTTTTCCGTAAAATTGATAGTATTTGAGTAAAAAATTATTGAAAATCAATATTCAGCTATTTTTAGTAATTAATTTCTCGTTAACCATTGCGAAAATTTCAAAATAATAGAGGATTTTTCGACTCAGTTTAGTTTTCTGCTCTATCTATACAAAAGCGCTTGGCAAAAACTTACGGGACACTCTGTATATAGATTAATTTTAATCTCGATTTAATTAATTTTTTTTCTAATTCTAAAAGTAGAATAAGATAAAAATTTAGTGAGATAAAGAGGTAATATCTATATTTACATGAGGGTATAGATACTATAGAAAGAATAAGAAATTTCTATTTATCAGAAGTCGGGAATTAAATCAAGTTTTGCATATATAATATACAAAATTGTACTCGTATACTAATAAAACAAATATTCGCGCAAAAATTTATTTGAATATTTACTCGTTCAAAAATTATTGATCTGCGGCAAAATATGATCACTTCGAATAAAACCATTATAATCCAAATTATTTAATTTTTTGCAATTATAGTTTCATGGAATAATATCAGAATTTGTTTAATGCGATATTGGCTTATTTTGGCTGATTGTTTGACTAATACTTTTAATTGATACATTGTACACGCAGCTAAAAACATCCTTAAAAAAATAGAATCATTTTGTTATGAATTGTATCTCTTGCTAGAAAGCACCAGAAAAAAATATCGGAATCAATGGGCTTCAATATCTTTCAGATAATAGAAAGAATCTAAAGGTTCGAAGCACATATATATCATTTCATGCCCCGCTGTGATCCTTTGTGTGCGATATGTGATGATACAAGTCAATACAAGTGTTGTTCTGTTTTTATTACTTATTGAATACCAAGAAAGATAGAATAATAATGTTTATGTCGACTTGTGCCACTAAATGGAAAACACTTACTGATGGCTATTAATGCAGTCATGTTTATCTAAAAGAAACCTAAATGGTTTTCTTTCTAAAATTGGTAATCCCTTTTTGGGACACTATACCATCTTTTTTCGCCTTTTTCTACCTGAACGTGCTGAATGCTAAATGGTTGTGTTCCAAAATTTACTGCCAATACTGAACAACTATAGCTTACGTTACATACACTATAGATTTTTAGTATTAACAGTAAATTTTAGAACACAGCCTTTGTTTCTATTTAAAATGAATCGTTTATTTGTCCGATTTTTCCTTCAGGATGGCTTGGGCATTTTATAATTAAATTTAATCAGATTCCCACTGCAAATCTATAATCATCCGTGACTCTATATGAAATTTATTACCTTTTTGCTATCAAAAATTGGTAGCATACTTAAAATACTCTCTATAGTCTCTATAGACTTAACTATCTAGAAAGCTTTATTCTATATGCTTTCCATTTAGGCCCAGTTCCACAACTCACGGTTAACTCTTAACCGAGGTTCAATTTATTCATTGTGTCTTTCCAATTCTAATTACAGCGCGTAAGCGCCCAAACCACTGCAGCTTCATGTCTGTTTTTATCATCATAGATTAACTTTAATCTGTTGAAATTATTCTTCATCGTTTTTTTAATTTTAACATAAGTCTTAGAAAAAATTGAAGAATAAATTCAACTGAAATTAAAGTTAATCTTCTTTGGTAGAAACAAATCGGACTGAACGAAAATTGATTTTCTTCTTCCTCTTCGTTTCTAGAGCGTACAATTCGCACGATTGTGGAAAACATTTCTTTCCATCTTTTCTTTCCATTTTTTCTTCTCTCTAAAAATGAAAGGAAAGACCTGTTTCAATTATATCTCCTATACATCTAATATCTTTATCCTTTTTCTTGTTTTCCATCGTTGCTTCTATTTTTAATGCAGAAAATGTGAGAGACTGAACCAGATTTTTTTATTTATCCAATTCTGAGGATCGAAGAAAAGAAATATCGGTATCATTTTTTTCAAAAAACGCGCGGATGCTTTGTACTTCCTACGATTCCCTCTAGCCTCTATGATATCTATTTCCTTTTCTAATGCTACCTTAAGTGATAGATAATTTAATACAAAATATTCATATATATA